AGCCACTTATCAAGCAGAAACGAACTTTATTTTTAGAATACACGCCTTACCACAGGAGCTCTTCAGGAAAAACCCTCAGAGCCCAACTGCCACCACTGGCTTTCCACAGCCTCTCAACCCCCCCCCACCCGCTCCTGCACTTGAAGCTGATTGGCTGGGTCATGTGGGCGGAGCCAAAAAGTCCCCCAATGAGCAACTCTGTCGTCTGAAGGGGCGGGGAAACAGCCCAATGAGCATCACTGCAGAGGAGCCAATCATTTGGCAGCTAGAAGTTTGCTGGGGCCATTGTCCTCCAATCATCAGCTGGCAGCTGGAAGTTTGCTGGCAGCTGGAAGTTTGCTGGGGCCCCTCTGGCTGTGGCTGTCAACATCAGTTGATTTGTATTCTTTTTGCCAATTAAATATTTGGAGTTTTTCTTAGTTGGGTTGCTATAAATATTATTGGTAGTGATGCTATGTTTAAAAATGTTTCTGTGAATATTTTGTTTCATTTCTCTATCAAGAAATGGAATTACTGGGGCTGGGGTTGTGGCTCAGAGTGCTCGCCTAGTATGCAGGAGGCACTGGGTTTGATCCTCAGCACCAAATAAGTGTAAAGTAAAGATATTGTGTTAACCTAAAACTTAAGAATAAATATGTTTTTTTAAAAAAGAAATGGAATTACTATCATGAAGTAAAGATTTGTTTAATTTAAAAAAAATTTTTATCTTGTTCTAAGGTGCTAAACCATTTTTTACATTCCTGTCAGCAGTATATGAAGTTGTATTTCCTTTTACTTTCTCCTTCTCTTCCTCCTTGCTCTCTACCTCTCTCTCCCTATTTTTTTTTTTTTTTTTTTTTGTACCAGGGATTAAACCCAGAACGTTTAACCTCTGAGCTTCATCCCCAGCCCTTTTTTCTTAAATTTTATTTAGAGAGAGGGTCTTGCTAAATTGCTGAGGCTGGGTTGAAATCAGGATTAGAGAAAGGGGAAGGCTCTGAGTCCCTCAGTCTTAGCCTCCCACTGGGATTACAGGCACTCACCACCACATCTGGAGTGTGCATGCTCTCTCTCTCTCTCTCTCTCTCTCTCTCTCTCTCAACTTTGCTTTCTGCCTTTGATTTTCTGTTGTCTATTTCACCGAGTTTTTTACTTCTGATCAGTGTTATTGCTTTTTTGGTAATTATTTTGGTTTGAAATCTCCCTTATCTTCTTAATATAATAGCTTACTTTTGTAGTCTTAGACCTTTCTTTGACAATATATTAAAAGCTATAAATAACCTTCAAGAATTAATTTCAGCATAAATTTTGATGGGACAATAACTTGTCAAGTTATTTCTAAATTTTAAGAAATTTCTTAATTTGACTTATTGAAGAATTAAGGCTCTATAATTTATTTTGCAAAAACTTGGTTAATTATTAGTTTTTGTTGTTTGTGGTATTTAATGTAAACCGATTTTGTTTAGAAATATCCTTTGAATAATCTGATTTTGAGACTTGTTTTGTTTTTCCTTTTATACTGACTGATCATGAATGATACTCCATGAGAATTTGTAAACAATTTGTATTCTGTCGATGTCAAATGAAACATTTTTTACATGACAGGTTAAAAGAGTTGATACTATTGCTAAAGTCTTGGATTCATATTTCTTGACTATCTGCTTTATCAACTAATGATAATAAGCTAATGAAATCTCCAGCTCTTAATGTTGAATTATATAGTGTTTTTCACATTTGTTATGGTTTTCTTCATATACTTTTAGATCTATATTTAGTAAGTTTATTTTAAATTACATGATATTGACTTACCATTGTGAAATTTTATTCTTTTTTATTAGTTAATTCTTTCTTTAAAGTGTTCTTTGTACTAATATCTCCTTTCCAACTCCTGCAGTTACTGTTTGCGTTATGTTCATTCATCATTCCTTTCCTTTGAATATTTCTCTGTATTTGAAGAAAAAGAATATTTTATATACAGCATGTTGTGTCTTATACTGCATAATGATGTTTCAATCAACTATGAACTGCATATAAGATGGTAATCATGAAATTATATTATCTAGTGATACAAATGTAGCAGCTTGTAAAAAATGCACTTTGTTGATATTTAGCAACAAAATTGTCTGTAAATATATCCCCATTGTTATGCAAAATGATTGTGTTTGGCTTTGGTGTTTTCAATCAGCCTGAGAATCTCTGCCCTTTTTCTTTTATTTTTTTGTTTTTTCCTTCCCCACTTACAGTGTGTGCATGTGTATTTTGCATAAAATTTGAATTTGTCTGATGAGTATTATAATTCCTTTAAATATTTTTATGTCATAAAAACAAGACACATAGTATGCATATATTGATAAATAATTTTTTCTATTTGTAGAATTTTGAATATTTCCATGGCTATTCAATCTTACAGACCTAATTATTACTGATCTACATAATTTTTGTTAGTAGTGTACACCTGTGCTACTAAGTATTTTGGGGGGAATGTCTTTGTTTCAGGTTTGCTTGTTTGTTTTTAATATCTTTTTTAGTTGTAGATGAACATATTGGACATCTTTATCTTATTTATTTTTTTATGTGGTGCTGAGATCAAACCTAGTGCCTCACACATCCTAGGCAAGTGCTCTACCATTGAGCCACAACCTCAGCCTTCAGGGTTGTTTTTTGTTGTTGTTGTAGTTTAAAACACAATTCTTTTTATGTATTTTATTTATTTATTTTTATGTGGTACTGAAGATGCAACCCAGCGCTGCAGCCCTCAGGTTTGTTTTTGAGGAACTATTTTACTTGACACAGAATTACTTTTTTTTAATTATATTTATTATACCTTTATTTTGTTTATTTATTTTTATGTGGTGCTGAGGATCAAACCCATGGCCTCATACACTCTAGGTGAGCAACCCACCACTGACTCACAACCCCAGCCTCTTGACACAGAATTCTTACCACTGTGTTTTGTTTTACTATGTCATTCTTCCTATAATTTAAGTCTGTTTAGTGAATCATTTCACTTTTCTCTTTAAAATGATAAGTGATTTTCCTGTTTTGGATTGTCTGTACTATAGCTTTAATAATTTGATTACGATGACTGTGGTGAAGTTCCTTTTACATTTATTCCATTGAAAGTTTAATGAACTTCTTTATGTAATGAGGTTTTTTAAATTGAAAATTGTTTTTCCTGGATTTCTTTAAATATATATTTTTAATGATCTCTTTGAACATTTGGCAAATTTTTATTAGAAGTAGGGCATTTTTAATATTTTATACTTTTGGTACTGTTTTCATTCTCCTTATAAATGACTTACATCAATTATTTTCTGGAGTTATGTAGTCTCCATCTTCTGCTTTTAATCTTAATTTTTAGCTTGGTAACTTAGGATTCTTCTTATTTTCACATAATTCAGAGGTCAGCTATTTATTAGTGCCAAACTTGTGTCCATAGATAATAGGTTCTATTATATGACTACTGATTTTTGTGAGTTAAGGAACACTTTTAAACTTACAATCAGGTTCTCCAGTTTCCCTTTGCTTTCACCACACAGTGAACTTCAAATATAAGAATTGGTAATTCAGAATGCTTTGCTCTGTAGCAGAAGAAACAATAAAATTGTTTACACCTTCTGATAGAGTAAATTTTGACGATAATTAGTAAATTTTGAAAATATTATACGTATTTAATAAGAATTCTTTATTGCCAAGGTTATTCTTTATTTCCTTAAACATTGACATTCTGTGCCATTTCGCATGAATCCAGTTTTTAAAAATTATGTATATATGTACTACATATATATGTATATATATTTCTGATTAGAAACATTTTGGTATTTCATGATCTTTTCAGTTTTGCATACCACCAAATTTTAGAGTATATATAACTTGTGACTATAATTTTTTTAAATCAAAGCTTGTTTCTGACAATTGCCCCTTTATATCAAAGCAAAAAGACTTTTATCTTGCTTCTAAATAAATTCTCAATTCACAAAGCAATCATTCTAATGTGTTCTCTCGCCTTTCTGAAGTTCCACTAAATATTGGTATTGAAAGTTAAGAATATGTTAATATGTGGGCGGGGGTTGTGGCTCAGTAGTAGAACAGTTGGTCTGACATATGTGAGGCTCTGGGCTTGATCCTCAGAACCACAGATAAATAAAAAAGTAAGTAAATAAATAAATAAGGTTCATTGACAACTAAAAAATATTTTTTTAAAAAAGAATATGTTAATATGTAATTACAATTTTACCCCAATAGTTTTTGTATATCAGTAGTTGTTTATTTGGGGAAATTATTAGATTATTGTTGCAGTATTCCCTTATTTAGGAAGTATTCCTGAGAAATTAATTTATTAGTTATTTTGGAATTAAATATGAATTATCATAATGCAGTTTACAACATCAGGCAAATTTTGGATAAAAATTGCTTAATTGATTTATATTTTCAGTCTATGAAATAACTTTTCTCTTCATCTAAAACACAATATTATTATCTATAGTAGACTGCTTTTTAAAAATTACTGAACAGTTTTAGTATATTCTCCTAACTTTTGAATTTAAGAAAAGAACAATTATCCGATCATTAGTTGGGGACATTGCATTTAGAATGTCTTTACCCATTTGGTTGATTTGAGAGTAGAATTTCTTAAATAAGTTATTACTAAATATATTCTGAGAGTTAGCATTTTTGCTTTTGAGGATTATTGCCATATCTATATTACAACTTTCCTGATAATTTTAAAAGTTTAATAAATATAATTTGTATGTTAAACTTACTGTAAATCACATTGACTTATCTTTTGTGTTCATGACTAGGTTAATGGCCATGAATAACTTTCTCCACTTAAATCTAAATATAGAGACATATTTTTCTTGAGATGAAAATACAAATGTCAGAATGGAACCATTTATTTTTGGTGACTTTATTTTTACTTAAATTTTTAATCCTTATTGTTGTTCTGTGTATGTATTTGGAGCTTTGCATAATTTAATATTTAAACCGATTTTACTTCTTTCCTTTTTTTTTTTTTTTAGGGGCTTCATAAAGGTCAGAGTTCACATTTGGCAGGATCTAATGATGAACAACCTCTCTTTCCTACTGGGTCTACTCAGTATCTCCAGGCAGCTTGCACTAGTAGTCAAAATCAAAATGGACCTCACACTCTGCCTAGAAATTCAGTACCACAGGGGGATGCTCTCAATCACTTCTCCTCTCATATTGCTACCTCAGGTGGACTAAAAGGTATTACCTTTACCAAAGAGAGCAAACCTTCAAGAAATAGATCCTTGGGGTCTGAAACAAGGAGGCAAGATGGAGATACATCTAATAGCTATGCTGGTGTCAAGGAACTTTCTAATCATGTACATCAGGCAACAACAATTTCTATTTCCAGTCTTAACCATGGAGTTTCTATATCACCAAATTTAATAATTACGGACAATCCTCAGCTTTCTGCCTTGTTAATTGGAAAAGCCAATGACAGTGTGGGCCCTGGAACTTGTGAAAAAGTCAATAATACTCATCCAGCTATTCATACAAAGACTGATAATTCTGTTGCCTCTTCACCTTCTTCAGCCATTTCCACAGCTACACCATCTCCAAAGTCGACTGAGCCGACTAGCACACACAGTGTTACCAGCCTTAATAGTCCTCACAGTGGTTTACACACGATTAATGGAGAAGGGCTAGAGAATTCACAGAGCTCTACAAAAATAGATCTGCCTATAATTAACCTCAAATCTGATCCTCAGATTATACCATCAATGTCTGTATCCATATACTCCAGTTCAACAGAAGTTCTAAAGGCATGCAGGTTAGTGTGGGAAAGTTCATCAAAAAGTGAAAATGGGAGTTGGGGTTTAGCTCAGAGGTAGAGCGCTTACCTAGCATGCATGAGGCAGTGGGTTCAATCCTCTGCACCATATAAAATAAAATACATTTTTATTTATAACTAAAAAAGTATATATTTAACAAAAAAACATGAAAATGGCTGACTGTTGGCCAGCTCAAAAGTCTTGATTTTTATCTTAAAAAAAAAATGAAAATAGAATTTTGTTTTTTTGAAGTGTAGCAAAAGACCATATTACATCTAAAATAATAATTTCATAAGGAACATTGTTATTTTATACTTTACCAGATGTCAGAAGCATATATTTATAAAGCATTACCTGAGAGATTATGTGTTTGGTTAGTGTTACTGACTTTTATTGATTATCAAAGTCATCAGCTTCAATGTGATTACCTTTTTCTGAGGATTAAAGGATTAATTTTTAAAAAGGAAAAGGCAGAAGTGGAGGGGCAAAGAGGAGTGGGGAGCTGAAATCTGAAAACTGGGGATAAAATTATTCTTAGCCCAAGAAGTAACTAAGTGGTAAATGACAATCTTCCATCTAGTTGTTCTATGAGAACCAATTAGAAGAGTTGATAGTGGTACCTGTTCTCAGCAGAAGTTTGTGGACCCAGAAAATGGAAAGGAACATCTTTTTAAGAATGTTAATTTTCCTGATAAAGAAATTTTGATAAGAAAGATGACTAAATCATTGATGAATTTACCTAGAGAGTATCTTTTATTTCTGTAGTAAACAACAAGAAAATGTAAATGAAAATTGAAGTTAGATATTTTTAAATTAACTATTTTAAAAAGCAGTTTTACATATTTATAGATTTCTGCAATAAGCAACTTCCTGAGTCAAGAAGCTATTAGAATGGAGTAAACTTAATTTTTCCCATACCTACCTTTTCTGCTGCTTCATTATTTGACTATTGGACCCTTGTAGTAAGATTTAATTATATCTCTTGAACAATTTAGTGCATATATAATGGGAAGATAATTCTTTTTGTTGTCTGCAGGCCTATCCACTTGCATTAGGATTGGGGAGTATATATTTTAACAGGAAAAGACTTGTATAATTAGTGACATAAATATCTTCTTTAGATCTGTCCTAATAAATAAGAATTATTAGATGTGATTGTTTGCACCATTTATGCAGATAATACTTTAATTTTGTATTCCTAGTCAGTTTTTCTTTTCTTTTGCAATGGGGTCTGTTTTTTGGTTCCAAAGCTGGTCTCAAACTCCTGACTCTTTACGTCAGCTTCCTTAGGTATACAGAACTTTTGTTTCTAATTTATTTTAAATCTGTCTTGTTTATTCATCTTGGTAGCAACATAGAAGTCTGTTTCTTTTAAGATTTATTATTGTAATTTGTAAAAATTCAAGTAATTGATTCGGTCGTGGGTCATTTTTTCCAGTACAATCTTTCATTTTTGAAATAAGTATCTACATTTTCCCATTACTTTACTTTCCTATAAAAGTAAATTCATTTTAAAAATTCTGTTATAACTGTAGAAATACAGTTCTAAAGTCATTATTTCCTAAGCTCTGTATTCATATTGAGGTATTAAATAAGCTTAACTTGGTCTCAAAATAAATTAGGTTAAGAAACTTTTCTAGTACAATTAAATACTTGACTCATATCTTGAGACATCTCAAAATACTATTAATCATATGTCAAACAATTATTAGGTGATTGTTGTGAGAACATTAGAGTTGAATGTACAGAAACTAAGATGACAATGACTTCACTAGGAAGTATAATGAAGTATATAGTTTATTATTGACTGAAATGCATGATTTTATATATTATTTTTCCTTCTAGCAACTGCAATTATATAGAAAGTAGAGGCTGGGGTTGTGGCTCAGCAGTAGAGTGCTCCCGTAGCACATGCAAGGCACTGGGTTCAATCCTCAGCACCATATAAAAATAAATAAATAAAACAAAGGTATTGTGTCCAATTACAACTAATATTAAAATAATAATATAAATTTAAAATATTTTTTTAAAAAAAGTGTAGCTGACGTATAGTTCAGCATTGAAGGCCATATTTTATTGTATAGAGACTATTATTGTTATGAAACTGTCCTAGTGACGATATTTGAATTGTCCTGTAAATAAAGTATTTTCTCTTTTTTAAAAGTTATTTGGGAGATGGGGTTGTAGCTAGGTTGTATTAAGAAATGTTGTACCTTTTGTGGACTATTTAATATTATACCATGAAAGTACATTTCAAGCCTTACTTTTTATTAGCCCAATATCTAAGATCTTATAGGAATTTTTCTGTGCAGAAAATACAACAAAGCAGTGATAAATTTTCTTCAGAATTTGATTGTTCTATAAATTGAAATGAAAGACATAATTTCTTCAGAAGCAAATGCAATTAGTGATTTTTTTTTAACTTTTCAAAATAAAGATTCTTTTCTTGTCTGAAATCTTAGTATTTTAAAGCTCTTTTCCTTTGATGTTTTAACATGTTGATTCTTCTAAAATTCTAATAATTAGGTAAGGCATTTTGAATCATTTGAAAGGCTTGTTTTCTGAATTTGTTAAAATGTTAAGGCTTTAGGAGTTGTGCTTGTAATAATGAGTGCTTGCCTAGCATGTGTACAGCACTGGGTTTTATCCCCAGCGCCACATTAAAAACAAATAAATAAAATAAATAAATATATTGTGTCCATCTACAACTAAAAAATAAATTTTAAGAAATATTAAGTATTTAGAAATATTCTTCTTACATTGCTTATACCTTAAGAAGAAGTTGAGTTTGATAGTGATTCTTATCACATTTTATGAATTTGTTATTTAGTAAATGTGATACTTTTCAGTAAAGGAAGAAATTATTCAGATACCATTAAGTAATAACCAGATATAATATAAGAGAATGAGTAGCATATTTTTATATCTTCTTAAAAATTATTGTAATTTATAAATTTTGGAACCATGCTGAACATATTAGCCAGCTAATAAATAGAAAATAAGTTTTGAAAAGAAAGAACTAGTGAATTGCTGGGTTTAGAAGTTGTCACAAAGATATTTTGGAAATAATTAGTGAAATGTGTTGTTAAAAAATTATCTATTGTCATTATTACTGATATGTAAACCTTTTGGACAAGTAATGTTTAATGGAGAGAATTTGACCATAGAATGAGTTAGAAAAATTAAGATAATAAATTTAAAAATTAATTATAATAGATAAAATAGTAAATTAAAATATTATATTGAAAAATATTTGTGAAGTTTATAGTATATTTTAAATAAAAGATAAAAGGAATCAAAGTGAAAATTTTGTGTAGTTAAAGAATCTAACTGAACATCTACTGAAATTAACAGCCATTCTCCAGTTTTTTATTGACTCAACCTGCCTCAGGATGATTGTATTTTTTATAAATGCTTTATATCTAACTTAATGCAGGTTTTTTCTATTTTCAAAGTAAGTATATTGCTGATTTCTTTTGCTTTTTTTAAAGGAATCTAGGGAAAAATGGCTTGTCTAACAGTCACATTTTGTTGGATAAATGTCCACCTCCACGACCACCAGCTTCACCGTACCCTCCCTTACCAAAGGAGAAGTTGAATCCACCCACACCTAGTATTTATGTGAGTCTCAACTGATTAACTATAAATAAATCAAGTGTCTGAACTTGTCTGCCTTTAGAGGATAGATAAATTTTTAAATCAATTCAGATGCCTTTTAGGAAACATTAAATTTATTTTCACAGTCTGAATATTTAAAAAATATATTTATTTTCCAAAGGATGATAAAAAAGTGTTCTTCATCTACATATGGTACACTCCTTTTTTTTTCTTGATAAATATAAAGTTTAAACTGTTGAGTTGGTTGAAAAATGACACAGCCTCATCAATTTCTTTACATTCTGCCTTCAATGTTAATTGCTGAAGGAAAAAGGTAGTTCAAAAAGTAAAAAAATAAAAAAACTTTCTTGTATCTGGCAAAGAAGTTTGTTGATCATTGGTATATTAAAAAATATTTTGTGAAGAAAAATTTTTGAATCTATTTTCAGATATTAACTGGGATTTTGAGAACCTCCAAAGATAGTTGTTTCAGTTTAAGCATTTAGTAAATATGTTTTTAAATCTGCATTGCATGACTTAATAATTGTGTGAACCTTAAAAATTCATTCAGTTTAGGCCTTTTTAATCAAAGAATTTTTCTACTTCCAAAAAAGGTAGTTGAGAATGAAAATGATATGGAATGTTATTAAAAAGTTTACCAAAATATAATAGGTATTTCAAATTTTGAATTTGAAACTACCTACCATTTTTGAATGTCATCAATGTAAGTATTTGATACAGAAAGTTGAATTGAAATTCAGATAATAAAAATTCAGACAGTATTTGTGTTTTTCTCCTGATGAGTTTGTGCCTTTCATTGTTTCATTAACCTTCCTAGTCAAAAAAGAAAAAAATCCTAGGCTAAGAAGTGAAGATACAGACCTTAGAATGAACTTAAATTTATAAGTGGATTTGTGAGATTTAGCTTTTTCTCTATCAGACATTATCTTAATTCCTTACCCAATTAAAATTAGATAACTTTTAGAGAAGGATAGAAATAGATGCGAGAGGATGTTTTCATCAAATTTTGAAGAAATGAATACAAAAAGATTTGTATTCTTTTTATTTCTCTAAGTAATGGAAGTACACTTGGAAAGTATACTTGGGAAATACTTGAAAAGTTAAAATATTTAAATGTCATTTTATGAATCTTTGATGAAAGAGGTGAAGGACATTAAAACATTTAAATATATTTCTTTAAAATAGAAATTTACAGAGTTGTTTCCACAGTTTTTTGAAAAGACTAGTATGTAGTCTAGACTTTATAAACTGTTGAGTTGGTTGAAAAATGACATGAATTTGCAGAATAATAGTCATTTTCTTGAGACCTAACAATACATTTTAATTTTATAGTTGGAAAATAAGCGCGATGCTTTCTTTCCTCCATTACATCAATTTTGTACAAACCCAAAAAACCCTGTAACAGTAATACGAGGCCTCGCTGGAGCTCTTAAGTTAGGTAAGCATTTAAAAAAAAAAAGTTGAACAAGAAATGTTTCAATTAAGAACACAAATAGAAGAGCACCAGTAGAAACTTGCTGATTTGTTTTTACCATTTTGAATTTTTATTTTAATTCTGTCACTGTTTTTATTTATCTCTGTTTCTCTCTCTTTCAATCTCGTCTCTGTCTTTATCTTTCCTGCTGTCTGTCTCATTAAAATTTTGATAGTTTTTAAAACAATCATATTTGTTTTAAGAAAGTCTGTCTGTGGAATTTGGGCATACATATTTTTAATGTATAATGTTAGTGATATTGGTTATTGGCAATTTCTGCAGTGAAGTTTAAATTGAGTACCAGTTATGAAACACAAAAACTTAATTTTATTATATAAATTTTTATATGAAATATACAGAGCATTTAATTCTGCTTATAAACACCATAACTCATTTGTTAAACTGATAGTTATATCCTGGTTCTACTATGAAAATCTGGTACCAAATGACTTTTCTTAAGGAAAACTAATGGAACTACACAAAGATAAATTTTTAAAGGACTTTGAATTTTTTATTGTACTGAAAATAATTTTATTCACTAACAAAACTTATTTTTTATGAAGATCTTGGACTTTTCTCTACCAAAACTTTGGTAGAAGCTAATAATGAACACATGGTAGAAGTGAGGACACAGTTGTTGCAACCAGCAGATGAAAACTGGGATCCTACTGGTACAAAGAAAATTTGGCGTTATGAAAGTAATAGATCACATACCACAATTGCTAAGTATGCACAGTACCAGGCCTCTTCCTTCCAGGAATCATTGAGAGTAAGTTTGTTTGGTTTTACTCCCTCCATTTTATAAAGCACATTACTTTTGTAACTACTTGGTGTTTACTATTGTGTTTTATAAATACCTGGAACTGGTGACATAAGTGAAAATGATAATAAGAGAGATAACTTAAACCTTATTAAACTAAAATTTAAGCGAGGTTATAGTTAATAATACATGTATACATAGAAAAAATTATTATCTAGTATCTATTTTGATTTTTGAATATTTTCATTTAAAATTATAAACTAAGCCTACATTATAGTTGGGAGAATGATAATAATAATGTGAAGAAAATTTGGAGGCAGCTCAAATGTTCACTCAACCAATGAAGAAATGTTTCATTTTGTGTATACACACACACACACACACATATATACATGTGCGCGAACACTCGCGCCATCATCTCATGGCTTTAAAGTAAATTTCCTTCATTATTTGTAGTATTGAGGTCTTTTATTGCATCGGCAACTGGATATCTTCTTTGGAGAAATTTGCATATTAATTTTTAGCCTGATTATCTGTTATTTTATTGTTGAGTTTACAAGTTTTTTGGGTTTTATTTTTAATTATTATTTAATTGTAGTTGGACACAATACCTTTATTTTATTTATTTTTATGTGGTGCTGATGATTGAACCCAGGGCTTCGCATGTGCTAGGCGAACGCTCTACCCCTAGTCACAACCCCAGCCCAGTTTAGAAGTTTTTATAGATTATGAATATTATTCTGTGTAAGATATGATTTTGAAAGTATTTTCTCCCATTTTGTTGGCTATTTCACTTTTTGGTAGTGCTTTTTGATGCACATATTTTAAATTTTTGGTGGTTTTTAATTTATTTATCTTTTCTTTTGTTTTCTGTGCTTTGAAGTCTAAGCATCATTGCCAAATTCATATCACAGAGCTTTTCCACTATTTTCTTCTTACAGTTTTGTAACACTGAAAATAGGTATGGGGTTTTATTTGAACCTAACAGAATGTTCTAACAATATATCAGGCAACTGATATATTTTGAGTTAATTTTCCTATGTGGTCTAAAATAAGAGCTGTGCTTCATTCTTCTGCATGTTGAAAGCCAGTTTTCTTAGTATCATTTATTGAAAAGACTTACCTTTGCCCTATTCAATGAACTTAGAAGAGAGTCTTTGAACTTTTTGTGAGTATGCTATTATCTCTGGTGCTTTCCCAAAATTGTCTTTATTGGTTGAAAATATTTCCTTTTAAATAATATTATTGATTAATTTTCATATTGTATCATCCTTGATTTTCAGGAAAAAAAGAATTTGGAGCATGGCATATAATCTTTTTTGATGTGTTGCTAAATTCAATTTACTAATATTTGTATTAATAAATTTAATAAACATTGCAGTATAGTTTTCTAGTGTCTTTATCTCTCTAGTGTAAAACTGCCTCATAGGATTAATTGGAAATTGTTTCCTCCTCTTTAATTTTTAAAAAACTTTTAATAGCAGGCAAAAACTATCCCAGTCTTTCGAACTATCCCTAGATGGGTTAGAATTGTGCACATGTACTCTTCTATTTCTGGTTTGTGGGGCAGATAATTAACTATGTTGTCAAAACCTCCAGAGCAGCACTGTTATTCATATGCCTGACCAGGAGTAGAATAAGAACAAGTAAAGACACCATAGGATTTCCTTATGATTTTAGCATGGCTTTGTCTTGATTGTTTGCTTTTTTTGATGTAGATGTGTGACTGTTTTCTACAGATACTAAACTTCTTTCAGGCTAGTTTTAAGACTTTTTTCCATGAGAAAATAACATGGCCTTAAAATCTCTCTTATTACCATTTTCGCTTATGTCACCAGTTCCAGGTTTCTGTTTTATTGCTTTATTGAGATAATTTATACAGCATAACATTCACCAATTTAGTTTTGTTTTATTCCATAGTACTGGAACTTAGGATCTCTTGTTGTTGTTGTTTTGTTTGTTTGTTTGTTTTTTGGAACTTAGGGTCGAACCAAGAGATTTGCAAATGTAAGGCAGATACTTTGCCACTGAGCTATATCCCAGCCCTAATATCTCTTAAATACTAGGCAAATGCTATACATACATCCTGACCCTAATGGATCAATTTAAAATATACAGATCAAATATATTCATAGTTGTACAGCCATCATCATAATTATTGTTAGACATTCTGTTAGGTTCAAATAAAACCCTATACCTATTTTCAGTGTTACATTGTCCTAAACTTCTATAGTCTTAAGAAAGTATCTTGTTCTTTCTGTATTTATAGATTTGCCTAATTTGAGTATTAATGTAAATGTATGCTATAATGTGTGTCATGAACAGTCTTTTTTATTATTATTATTAACCTAAGATTTTCAATGTTTATTTATATCATGTATCAAGAATTTATTTCTTTTTTATTACTAAATAATATTCCATTACTAAATATATATTCCATATATATCACTTTTTTGGAGAGTTGTCTTCAGTCAGTTGACAGGATTCAGTTGCATTTGCTTTGTAACTATTCTTAATAATATTGTTCTTATTATTCATGTTTTTGATGCTCTTAGGTAATTATGTGGTAGAATTGCTAGGTGATGTGGAAACCCGGTGTTGATCACTTTAAGGAACTGCTAGTTTGCTTTTAAAAATGGCTGCATCATTTTTTATTTCTAGTCTTAGTTTATAAGTGTCCATTTTTTCATCCTTTCTATCACCTGTGTATTATCTTTTGATTTTAGCCACTGAAGTATTTGTGAAGTAACAGCTCTTACAATTTTGATTTGTATTTGCAAATAGGAAATAAATGCTGTTTATTAAGATTTTTTTTTTTGTGGCTATATTGTCCGTGTTAACATCTTTGTTGAAGTATATGTTCTATTTCTTTATCCATTGTTTAATTGGCTGTTTGTCTTTTGCTATTGATTGGTAATGGTCTTTCGGTATACTGTTATTACAATTCATTGACAAGTGTTTAAAGTACATTTTTTTTTTCTGTTACAAGTTACTTTTCCATTTTTTTTATGATGTTCATTGAAGTATAAGTTTTAATTTTATTAGTGTCTAATTTATTTGGCTTTCTGGGATTGCTGTTCTTTTTTTACCATCACTAAAAGTATATGCATAATACATGCTCTTGCAGATTTAGCAACGTTTTTCTTTTAAGAGTTTTCTTGTTATATCTTTTTATATTTAGGTTATTGATATATTTTGAGTTGAATTTACCACATGATATTAGGTTTAAGTTCAATTTCATTCATTTTCTTGTGAATTTCATCCATCATTTATTTATAATTTCATTCATAATTTTGTCATCCTTGTAAAAACAATTTTTTATTGAGCATTTTTTTTACTAGTGCTATGAAAATAATTACTCATAATTCATGTGTCAAAATATTCAGAAGTTCTAGGAAGAACATCTTCCCTATGTTCTTACCTTTGTTGTGTGATTTATAAAGGAAAGACAGAGTGACTAAATAAAAATATAATCAGAAATAGAGCATCTTAACTTTTTTCATGCTCTATATATACAGTAGGTATGTATATTGGTATGTGTATGCAAAGATACACTTCCTGCTTTGAAATGTGTACCATTACTTTGCCAGTTGGTCTTCCTAATTGATGTAGATAGTTCTGTTTCTTCCTGGTCTTATTTTAATTTGTTCATTTTCTTCTAGTATTTGGGACAGGTAGAAGAATATACAGATTTCCATTTTATAGAGTAAGGCCAATATGAAAAGACAAAACAAGGCTTTTCAAAATAGACATATTTACATATATATATATATATATATGTATATATATATATATATATGCGTTTAACCCCAGTAGCACTGAGCTACTCCAGACCTCAATTTCTTCAATAGTTCTTTTAGTTATATATAACATTAGGATTCATTTTTACATAATTATTCAATCCCAATATTTTTTCTTTCTCCCCTTTTTTCCTCCCCCTGTTCCCTTTCTTTAATGATCTTTCTGTTATTTACTTAATAGTTTATTATTAGCAGTTTCAGTGTTTCATTATTAAATGTACAAGATGGTAAGATTCATTTGCTAAATTCATATGTGTTTAGGAAAATTTGGTCATATTAATTTTACTGTTCTTCCTTTATCTTGTCCCTTCTTCTCCCCCTCAATCTCCTTCAATTACTCTACTGATCTTTCTTCTGTTTTAATGGATCCCCTACTATTCTTTTCTGTTTTGTTCTTTCTTTTTTTCCTTACTTTGGACTAGATTCTGCATATCAGAGGAAACATTCAGCCTTTGACTTCTTGTGTGTGTGTGTGGCTTATTTCACTTAGCACAATGGTCTCCTGTTCTATCCATTTGATGAAATGCCATAATTTCATTTTTTTATGGCTGATTAATTCTCAATATGTATACATATTATATATTGTTCATTCATTCACCTAGATTGCTGTTGTTAATTGTGCTGCTGTAAACATTGATAAAGCTGCATCAATAGCCTGCTGATTTTAGATCTTTTGAATAAATACCAAGGAGCAAGATAGCTGGGTCATATGATGGTTCCATTCTTAATTTTTTGAGGAATCTTCATGCTGCTTTCCAGATGGTTAAACTTATTTGCAATTCCACCAACAATATGAGTAAACCTTTTTCTTCATATCCTTATCAACATTATTATTTGTATTCTTGAAATTGTCATTCTGACTAGAACAAGATGAAATTTTTGTGTTGTTTCTATTTGCATTTTTTTTATTGCTAGAGTTGAACATTTTTCATATATTTATTGGCTATTTGTATTTTTTTTGATAAGTGTCTGTTTCTTTTTCCCTTATTGATTGGCCTATTTATTTTGTTGAGTTTTTTATGGTATTTTGGATATTAATTCCCTATTGAAGAGCAGGTGGCAAAGATCTCCCATTCTTTAGCCTCTCTCTTTATATTCTTTTTTTTTTATATTCATTTTTTAGTTGGACACAATATATTTATTTATTTTTATGTGGTGCGCAGGATCGAACCTAGGGCTTCGCCCGTGCTAAGCGAGAGTTCTACTGCTGAGCCACAACCCCAGCCCCATCTCTCTTTATATTCTTATTTCCTTTGTTGTGCAAAAGCTTTTTAATTTCATGTATTGATTTTTTTTTTTTTTTATTTCTTCCACTTAAGAAATTTCATTAAGGAGGTTGATGCCTGTGCATATGTTGGAGTTTGGGTCTACATTTTCTTTTAACAGTTGCAGAGTTTTTTGTCTAATTCCTAGGTCTTTGATTCACTTTGAGTAGGTTTTTGTGAGAAAGATAGTGGTCAAGTGTTATTCTTTGACATATGGATTTCCCGTTTTCTCAGCACCATATTTTGATGACTTCAGCATCATTTATCTTACTCTGGATAGCTTTGGCTATTCTGAGTCTCTTACTTTTTTTTTTTTTTTTTTTTTTTTAATTGTAGGTGGACTCAATAATCTTTATTTTATCTTTATGTGGTGCCGAGGATCCAACCCAGTGCCTCATGCATGCTAGGTGAGCGCTGTATCACTGAGCCACAGTCTCAGCCCTGAGTTTCTTACTTTTTCCAAATGAATTCTGAAGTATTTTTTCTAGTTCTGTGAAGAATGTTACTGGGTTTTGATAGAGATTGTATCAAATCTGGATAATGCTTTTAGTAGAACGGCCATTTTGACACTAAGAATTGTAAGAGAATTCTAAGAGACTCAGAATAGCCAAAGCTATCCAGAATAAGATGAGTGATGCTGTTTGTGAACATGGAAGGTCTTCATTTCTTCTAAGGTCTTCTTCAATTTCTTTTTTCAGTATTGTGTAATTTTCATTAAGATTAATATCCAAGTATTTTTGTTGTTGTTTAGAAGTTATTTTATATTGCATAGTTTTCCTAATTTATTTTCAGCAGATTCATTAGTGAAGTACAGGAAAATGATTGCTTTAGTAGGCTGATATTGTGTATTGATACTTACTAAATTTGTTTATCAGTTTTAGAAGTCTTTTGGTGGAGTTTTTTGGATCTTCTAAATATAGGATCCATGAGCAAACACATCATTTGACTTTGTCTTTTAGTTTTGTATCTGTTTAATTTCCTTCTATTGTCTTGATTGCACTGGCTAGAATTTTTAAGAACTATGTTGAAAGGAGTGACGAGAGTGGACATCATTGATTTCTTCCTGTTGCTGGAGGAAATGCATTCAGTTTTTCTCCATTTAATATGATATTGTATCATATAGTCTTTACAGTGTTAAATAAGGTAAGTTCCTTCATGCCTAGTTTCTTTAGTGATTTAATATGAATGAGCGGTGTACTTTGTCAAATGGTTTTTCTTCATGTACTGAGATAAACACGTGATTCTTGTCCTTAACTCTATTTCTGTGGTGAATTACATTTATTGATTTGACATGTTGAGCCATACTTTCATCCTGAGGATGAAACCCAGTTAGGCATAGTACACCATATTCTTAATGTGTTTATGAAAGAATTTTTCATATATTGACAGTGGTCTGAAATTTTCTTTTTTGTGCCTTTTCTGGTTTTGATATCAGGGTTACACTGGCTTCATAGGATAAATTTGTCAGTGTTAAATTCTTTGCTATTTCATGGGATAGTTTGAGAAGAATTGGTGGCATTTATTTCTTTAAAAGGTTTAGTAGAACTTGTTCAGCCCTGGGCTTTTCTTTGTAAAGCTTTTTGTAGCTGCTTCAGTTTCATTACTTGAGATTTTTTACCTTATTGGATTTAAAAGTTTTCAAATGAATTTCTAATGAATCTCTTGATTTCAGTAGTGTCTGTGGTGATATTTGCCTTTTCTTCTCTAATTTTATTAACTTGGGTCTTCTCTCGTTCCTTTGATTAGTTTGGTTAAGGGCTTATCAATTTTCTTTTTCTTTCAAAGAATCAACTCCGTTTCATTGGTCCTTTGTGCTTTTTGTTTTATTTTGCTTCATTCTCAATTTCATTGTCTTTGGCTCTGATTTTGTTTGTCCCCCTGTACTGGGGATTGAACTCAGCACCACTTATCACTGAACCACATCTCCAACCCCATTTTTAAATTTTTTTCTTTTTAATTTCTGAGATAGGGCCTTGCTAAATTTCTGAGGCTGGCTTTGGACTTGTGATCCTTCTGCCTCAGCCTTCTGAGTATCTTTGTGTACCACCATACCCAGCCCTTGTTCTGATTTTAATTATTTTCTGTCTTCTACTGATTTTAGTGTTAATATGCTCTCCTTTTTCTAGGGCTGTAAAGTGTGACATTTGATTATTTATTTTTTGTTTTGTTTTTATAGGAACTCAGTGCTATAAACTTTCCCGTTATAACTACCTTCACACTCTTCCAGAGATTTTGACATGTTTTCTCATTGTTCTCATTTGTGTCTAAGAATTTTTTTTATGTCTCCTCTGATTTTTTTCTGCTATCCAACATTCAAAGGTTATTATTTCATTGCTAGGATAGAATGGTTGCTGTTTTGTTTTTATTCTCTTGTTGATTTCTAGTTTCATTGTTTTATGATCTGATAGAATGCAAGGAATTATGGTTTTTGTTGTTGTTGTGTGTGTGAATATTTGCTTTGTGACCTAAAATATGATCTTTTTCAAAAAATGTTCTGTGTGCCACTGAGAAGAAAGTGAGTCATGTTGTAAATGGATGAAATATTGTTTAGATGTCAACTAGGTATACTAATTCATAACATTTTTTAGTTCTGAAGAATCTTTACTTATCTGGATAATCTAGCTAATAGAGAAGTGTATTGAAATCACCTAGTATTTTTGTATTGGTTTTTTTTTTAATTGTTAATTTTTAGAAGAGTTTGTTTTATGTAAGTAGAAACACTGTTGTTTGGGACATAAATATTTATAATCATTGTATCTTGTTGTTGGATGATTTTCTTAACCATCTCTTTGATTCTGCATGTCTTTGACTTTTCCGATTAATTGTGACTTGTAGTCTACTTTGTCTGATTTGAGAATAGCCAACTTTCCTGGTGTTTGGATCTACCAATCTGTGTATTTTGTTTGAAGAATTTAAACTATTTATATTGAGTTATTCAAGAGAGATGATTTTTATTTTCTGCCATTTTGATTTTTTTCTAATGATTAATTTAGATTTGATTCTCCTTTAATTTTTTTTCGTAGTGCATATCATTGAAATGTAGGTTTTTTTCTCCTGCATGAAATATTATGTTTTATAGTACAGACATAGTAATTATGAATTATTTTAGTTTCTACGTATCATGTAAGTTTTATTTCATCTTAAGTTGTGAAGAATAATTTAACCAGATATAGTAATCTTGGTGGTATGTATCATTCTTGGATTTTATTTTAGGACCTGGATTCAGAAATAAGTTGAAATTTGAATTAGTTTACCTCTAAATATGATCTGCCATTTTTATTTTACAGCTTTTAAAATTGTCTCCTAATTCTGTATATTTGGCATTTTTTCATTTTAATGTGTTTTGGAGAGGACTTCTTTTGGTCTTGCTTATCAGAGTTCGTTATAATTTTGTATTTGGATTTTCATTTGATTTCTAAGATTTGAAAGATTTTCTAATATTATGTCATTGAAATATCATATGCTTTTCTTGAGTTTGTTTTTTGAAACCTTAATCTACCCCAGCAATTCTTAAATCTGGTTTCTTGAATATGCTGGAATGGTCTCCTAACATCTTTTCTTTATGTTTTTAACATTTTTAAGATTATATACTTTGTTTTTATGACAAGCTATATTCAGAGTCACGTAATCTATTACTGTTACTTTCCGTTGAATTTTAAATTTGATTTCTTGACTTTCATTTCCAGGATTTCTGTTTGGTTCCTTTTCAAAGTCTCTTTTTTCTAAAATGATCTTTCTTTCACTTTCTGTATTTTCTAAATGCACTCTCTACACCTTTTAGCACAATGAACATTAACTGTGAATTTGTAAATTCTTCCTCTGACATTTACTCTTCTTTCATGTTGACAGAGTTAATTGTTGAGGCATTTTTTTGGTCACCCACATTCCGTATCAGCTGTGCCTTCATTCCCTCTTTTCCATGCTGCAGAGAAATTAGAGATCCCTCCCTGGTTCCTCTCCATCATCTTACCTATTCCTCAAAACAAGCCTTTTTTTTTTTCTTTTCCCTAGTTTGTATGGACAGCATGCCTTTATTTTATTTGTTTATTTTTATGTGGTGTTAAGGATCGAACCCACTACTTTACACATGCTAAGTAATCACTCTGCCACTGAGCAACAACCACAACCCAAAACTTGCCTTTGTGATGTTATAATAGAATATTAGTTCTCCATTTCTGGTATTTTTTAACAACTTTTTCCTAACAATTTGCCTATAAATGTTGTTTATTATTAGTTCTGTCTTTAATTCCCAGGACATCTGTAAAAGTTACATTCCTTTGTCACTTTGAAACTTTGGCCAAAGGAAAATTAGAATAGGTTTTTGCTTTTCTTGTAAATTAGTACAATACCAGAATTTCATAATATTACTTTGTGTCAATACAGAGGTTGAGTACAAAGTCAGTGCAATTTAACATTTCTTGGGTCTTTATTTAATTTGAAAATATTAAGAAATTGGAGGTATTTTCTACAACCTGTACTGTGCATGTATTTCTGTTTTTAAAATATGGACATTTATAGGATACTAAGTGTGAATCTTCTGCTTACTCTGTAGGAAGAAAATGAAAGAAAAACACAACTTAAAGACTACTCAGATAATGAATCCACATCTTCAGATAAGTAAGTAATTTTTAGCATCCACTCTGTATTTCTGTCTGAAAGGCATGGATCTAATACTTTCTCTTTTTTTAAGTTCTGGAAGGAGAAGAAAAGGACCTTTTAAAACCATAAAATTTGGGACCAACATTGACCTCTCTGATAACAAAAAGTAAGTTTATTAACTAAAACAAAGGGGATTACAGAATTGAGAATTGCCTTCCTTCCTATTCTTTCACTTAGTCATTATATTGTGTTGACATCTAAGTTTTGGATAAAATTTTTAAGACTCATATATTATTGTATAAGATCTTATAATTAGAATTTTTTCTTCTGGAAAAAACATACTAATTTACAAGCTTAAAAATAGAAAGTACAGGGCTGGGGATGTGGCTCAAGCGGTAGCACGCTCGCCTGGCATGCGTGCGGCCCGGGTTCGATCCTCAGCACCACATACAAACAAAGATGTTATGTCCGCCAAAATCTAAAAAATAAATATTAAGATTTTCTCTCTCTCTCTCTCTCTCTCTCTCTCTCTCTCTAAAAAAAAAAAAATAGAAAGTACATTGTTTATTTCACTTATTAGGCTTTTATAAATTATATATGAGACTTTTTTTGATGATCTCTATTTTAGGAGTTTTCTCTTTGAAAAAAGTTAAAACACTTTACTATTACTATTAAAATATTTCTATGTGTAACATCTTCTGATTGAATCATAAGAATTTGGATGGGGCTGGGTTGTGGCTCAGTGGTAGAGCACTTAATGAGCATGTGGGTTCAAACCTCAGTACCACATAAAATAAATGAATAAAATAAAGCTATAAAAATATTTTAAAAAAAAAGAATTTTGAGGACCTGATTAATTCTCACTAGTATTTGCAAAGAATTTCACTTTCAATCTGTTATTTTATTGCAGGTGGAAGCTGCAGTTACATGAGCTGACTAAACTTCCTGCTTTTGTACGTGTTGTATCAGCAGGAAATCTTCTAAGCCATGTTGGTCATACCATCCCGGGCATGAATACAGTTCAATTATATATGAAAGTTCCAGGGAGTAGAACACCAGGTGATTTTTATGAACGAATATATCTTATATAGTTAAAAAACTAAAGTTTAAATCAAAAAACACACAGAATCAATATCTTTGCATTTATTTATTTACTTTCTTCTTTTAATTTGTTGTAATTAGTTACATAACAGTAGAATGTCTTTTGACATATCATACATAAATGGACTGTAACTTCTCATTCTTCTGGTTTTACATGATCCACAGGTACACAAGTTGTGTAATCATATGTGAACATAGGGTAATAATGTCCAATTTATTCTACTGTCCTTCCTACCCCCTTATCACTTCTTCTCCTTTCACTTCCCCTGCGTAATTCAGATTACTTCTATTCTTTCCTAGCCCCCATGCTCTTATTGTGAATTAGCATCCGCAGTCAGAGAAAACATTCAGCCTTTGGTTCTCTAGAATTGGCTTATTATGCTTAGCATAGTATTTTCCAGCTCCATCCATTTACCAGCATATGCCTTAATTTCATTCTTCCTTATGGCTGAGTAATATTTCATTGTGAATACATTCCACATTTCTTTAACTTCTTTATTCATTAATCATTTGAAGGGCACCTAGGCTGGTTTCATGGGTTAGCTATAATGAATTGAGCTGCTATAAATATTTATGTGACTGTGTCACTGCAGTATGCTGATTTTAAGTGATTTAGGTATAAAACCAGGAGAGAGATAACTGAGTCAAATGGAGGTTCCATTCCAAGTTTTTTGAGAAATCTCCATAATTCTTTTCACAGTGGTTGCACCAATTTGCAGTCCTACCAGCAATGTATAAGTGAACCTTTCCCCCCACATTTTCACCAACATTTATTGTTGCTTGTATTCTGATAATTGTCATTCTGACTGAAGTGCCATGAAATCTCAGTGTCGTTTTTGGTTTGCATTTCTCTAATTAATAGAGATGTTGGACATTTTTTCATTTATTTGTTGATCGATTGTACTGTGAAATGTCTGTTCAGATCCTTACCATTTATTGAATAGGTTATATCTATTTATAATTACTAAAACTGAAATGATTTTTTTGAAGTTGTTTTTCTTTGTAATAAGTGTTTGTAATTATAACTAATATCAGTATTATTTCGTTCCCTTAGGTGTAGAGAATAAAATAATTAAAAAAATTAAACTGGGAAAGGAGCATTAAGTCCTTTACTGAGTAAAGGCCATAAATTATTATTCTATTGACTTCGAACTGTCAGGTGTTTCTAATTTTTTTTCACTACAGTTATTGTAAGAAAGAATCACATTTTATCATGAACTTCTTTATTTGAACCATATGTGAAAAAAAAATTTATTGATAATACTTAAAATACAGTGTACTGCTGTTTTACTTATTTGTTCCATTTTTTTTCCCCCTTCATTTTTAAAAAAATGATTTACAAAAACTATCTAAAGTTTTAGTCAACAGAATTCTTCTTTAAGGGCTAGGATAATCAAAGTTTTACTTGATATTTTCCAAATATATGTGAGACTTGATATGTTACAAATATATGTGAGAATGGGAATCTCACTTGTTATGTGTTGCAAATATACATAGGAATGAAGATCTAGCTTGTTCTATTATTTTATAGAAACTGAAATTTGTAAAGAAATGAAAAATTGAGAATTTGTATTAATTTTGATCTGAGAATTTTTTTTCATCTTCAAAATAAGGTTACTTTAGTATAAATTTCACATGTAAGATCTCTTTAAACTGTTTAATTTGGAAGTTTAATTAATTAGGAAAAATTTCAAAGGCTGCAACAAAATTTCCATGGCCAGCAATAATCAAATAACAGTGACAAATGGTGTTTTTTTCTTGAGTCAGTTCAGAAAAATTTTCGTCTCTGAGCTCTGAAGAATGCAGTGTAACTTCATAATAATAATGTTATCAATCTGTTGTTTGGTAGAAGAAGTGAGAATCAGCTTTCATTTCTGACAAAAGTCATGATATTGCTGTTCAGTAGGTCTCTGAGAACATCACATAAGAATATTTTTGCAAATCTGCCAATGAATAATACAGTTTGAGCACAAAAATTATAACTATTAATTTTGAAAACCTTAAGTGAAATTGCATGTAATGAAAATGTATTCTTTTCATTAAAAATTTAGAGGAGGTAAAAATATGATATCTTTTGTCAGAGTGTCTAAAATGTTTGGGATTTTTAGTTAAGTAAGGGAGTATTAGTATATTTTTCAACTTACGTTCCTATGGAACCTTAAGGAATTTCTTGGCAGAAATCTGATATGTTTTGTTTTCTAGATATAATTAAAAGAAACATTACTTTGGGTTGCTGTTCTATGTGAATTTTTTTTTTTGTTACATAAATAAAAAATGGTATCTGTGTAATAGAGTTCACAATCTGAATGCTCTGTGTGTTAAAAAAAAATTCAGATTATTCATAGACCTTAAGATCAGATCATATATATGGTACTTGTAGCTCTTCCAGTATGGGTAAATGAATGTCCTTGCCTATGGTGTTCCAGCTACTCTCATTTTAATTTTTATTTATTTTTTGGTACTAGGGATTGAACCCAGAGGCATTGGCCCACTGAACTATGTTCTCAGCAACTTTTATTTTTTGCTGACTAAGTTGCCCGGACTGGCTTTAGATTTGTGATCCTCTTGTCTCCTCATCCTCTAGAGTTCCTGGGATTTCAGGTGTGCACCACCATGCCTTTCTCTAATTTTAATTTTTTGGGGGAAGGGGTACTAGGGATTAAACTCAGGGGCACTAGACCACTGAGCTCCATCCCCAGCCCTATTTTGTATTTTATTTAACACCTCGCTTTTGCTGAGGCTGGTATTGAACTCATGGCCCTCCTGCCTCTGCTTCCTGAGCCACTGGGACTACAGACTTGGTCCATCATGCCCAGCTCTAATTTTAGTTTTTAAAGCCTCAAACCATGAGCAGTATTATCCACTTACCCATGATGAAAGAGTCAACAGGTTTTTACCTTACATCAGGTTGGGATGTGATAGCATCTACAAAATGACTGAAACCCCATTTACATTTTGAAAACTTTCTTTTTTTAATTTATTAATTTTTGATACTATTTGTATCAAAAGGAAAGAGGAAATCATAATTAGAAGGTATATATTGCATTTAATGTATTATTGTCACTTCTAGATGTCTCTTTTTCACTTAGTCTTCAAAATGCTCCAGTAAATTAAAGGCATTTTCTCCACTAAATTTTTACTATGATAATGACTTTAATTTTCTTTTACTTTTTAGGTCACCAAGAAAATAACAATTTCTGTTCTGTTAACATAAACATTGGCCCAGGTGATTGTGAATGGTTTGTTGTACCTGAAGATTATTGGGGTGTTCTGAATGAATTCTGTGAAAAGTAGGTTTCAGAAATTAAATTTTCTTTTAATGTATGATTGTGAAAAAATGTTTTTTGTACCAGACAATATACAAAGTTGAGTTTCTTCATAGAACTACAGGATTTTTACTTTTTATTCAGCAGAAATTTTATTTTAAGTGACTTGATTTTAAATCAAAAAAAATTTTTGTTACATGGGATACTTAAAGATATTTTAAAAACAGCCTCTAAATTAGTAATAGATAAAAATTGAGAATAGAAAGTAAACTCTTTTTTTATGTTAGAGTTAAAAAATTGATATAAACATGTTTTTGATAGATGTGCTTTAAGGGAAAAATAGGCTTTTTATAATTGTTTTTTTTAAATGATAAGAACTCTTAAATAAATTGTTCTATAGCTTGTTAATAACTTAGTTTTGTGTATTTTTGTGAGTTAGCCTCATAACATTATTATCAGTGCCTCAAACAAGGGACTCTCATTAGTTTTTCAAAGTTGACAGTGGAATTAGGGGGAAAAATCTGTATTGTATATATACAACACATGATAAAAATGGGACAGAAGCCTCATAGTCATTCATATGTAAGATCTATTTTAAAATTAATTCAGATGTATATCCGACAATAATTTTTTTTGTTTTGTTTTCTGTGGTAGGGATCAAAATCAGAGTTTCACACATGATAGGCAACAACTCTAGTGTTGATAGACCCCAAACTCAGTAATTTTTTAAGTTAAAATTTAAGTATTTTTATGTTTAATTGACAAAAAAATACTTACCATGTGATGCTTTAATACATGTGTGTATTGTATAATGTTCACATGGGGTTAAACATATCTGTTTCCTTAAACTTTTTTTTTTTTTTTTTTTTTTGGTGGGAGGGTACTGGGGATTACATTTAGGGGCAGTCAGCCACTCAATGACTGAACTACAATCACAGCTCTTTTTTTGTATTCTGTATAGAAACAGGGTCTCTTTGAATTGCTTGATGCCTCGCTTTTGCTGAGGCTGTCTTTAAACCCCCAATATCCTGTCTCAATCTCCCAAACTGCTGAGATTACAGGTGTGTGCTACCACATTTTTTTTTTTAATTTACTTTTTAGTTGTAGTTGGATACAATACCTTTTATTTTATTTATTTATTTTTACATGGTGCTGAGGATCAACCCAGGCCTCACACATCCTAGGCTCTACCGCTTATCCACTACCCCAGCCCTACACATTATTTCTTTTGGCTGAAAATATTCAAAATACTTTGTTTTAGATTTTTTTAGAAAATGTAGTATATTATCATTATAGTTTTATAAAAGTAGCTTGTATTTTATACTTAATGGACAATCTAAATAAAAAACATGTTTTATTTGGTAATAAGTGCATTTTAGTTTTTTTAAAAGATAACTTACCCCAAATTTCCATCTTTTTTTGTTTGTTTGTTTTTTTGTTTTATTTGAGGTGGACACAATATCTTTATTTATTTTTATGTGGTGCTGAGGATTGAACCCAGTGCCTCGCACGTGCCAGGCCGGGGCGCTACCACTTGAGCCACATCCGCAGCCCCCAAATTTCCATCTTTATTTATTTATTTTTGTATGTTTTCTCAATGTAACAAAAAATTTTCAGAGTTTAAAAGTTAGCAAACGTTTTAATCTGAACTGTTTTTTAGCAGCAAACTGGAAATTTAAGAGACAAGTTTCATGGGAATGGTCCAGTGTACTAAATAAAGAATTTCTTGATATTACTATACATATTTTTTTATTTGTTATCCCTAAGTTGTGATTTTATTCATTATTTCTGAGTTGAAACTGGATTATCAAGAGTTTTGTTTTCTTTCGTTTTTGTTTAGAAAGGAGTCCTTCATTGAAAGATAGTTGAAAACAAGTAATATTCAAAAAGTTTTGAACTTGGAATAATAATATCAAATTTTTTGTGAAATGATTCACTTATTTTAACTGTCTCAAAGTTAAAATGATTTATTTACCTTAAGTTGCAGAAAGTAGATGCCTTTTGTACAATTTCACTCTAACTTAATTTTTCATGTGGACCAATGCTGCTGAGATACATAATTTATATAGTTTGTTGCTCTACATATAAAACTCAAGTGTTTTGATTTTCAGTCCATTTGTCTTAATTGTTTTAGTTTTTTTTTTAAATTTATTTTTTTATTGGTTGTTCAAAACGTTATAAAGCTCTTGACATATCATATTTCATACATTAGATTCAAGTTGGTTATGAACTCCCAATTTTACCCCAAATACAGATTGCAGAATCACATCGGTTACACATCCGCATTTTTACATAATGCCCTATTAGTAACTGTTGTATTCTGCTACCTTTCCTGTCCTCTACTATCCCCCCTCCCTCCCCTCCCATCTTCTCTCTCTACCCCATCCACTGTAATTAATTGTTTTAGTTTTGTTTCTTCTCCTCCTCCCCTCTTCCTTCTTAACTAAAAAATATTTTTTCTCTAGTTTTCTTCAGTTTCAATTTGTAGTGTATGGGTAAATTAGGGGTAAGGTTTATTTGATACTTATAGCTTTTTTTTTTTCTTTTTGTTTATTTACTTTTTGTAATAAGTCTTTAGAAATATGAAGAAAACATGATTTTTTTTTATCCTTCATTTGTTAGGGTCTTGTAGATGCACACTAGTTTTAGAAGGAGAAAAGGAGGAAAATAAGAATCTATGTCAACAAAGCATCTTTTATCATTTTAACAAGTGCTGTTTCTTATATCTTAACATTTCTAATGTATACATTTCTTCTTGAGAAAACTTAGTGTGAAATAAAGTATATCATCAAATTCTTTGTGAAAACATCAATGTAAATAAAAGAATCACAACAGTTATATTGTAATGAAGGAGAGTGATAAAAAAAAATTAGACTTCAAAATTAAGCCTTAACTATCTATGCATGGTGACAATGATTGAAATCTCAGTGACCTTTAGGAGAATCATAAGTTGAAGGCCAAACTCATCAACTTAGCAAGACCCTGTCTCAAAAAAAAAAAAAAAAAAAAAAATCTATAATACAGAAGATCAGTAGAATAAAGGGAAGGAAATGGGGAGGAAGAAGGGAAGCAGAGGGAAGGGAAAGGGAAAAAACTTGGGTCTGAATTAAAACAAATTATATTCTATGCTTTTCTGATGATTTAATATGAATCATATACATATATGATTCATTACATATATTAGATATAACTAAAAACAGCCAATATAAATAAATAAACAAATAAATAGCTGGGAGGATATGATTCAGTATAGAGTTCCCCTGGGTTCAGTCACTGTTACCAAAACACTTAAAAAAGAAAACATCCCTGAATTCAATCCACAGTGTATTTAAAATAAATAAATAAACCTTATATGTACATATATGTGTTTCTTTTGATAGTTTTACTCAACAACTTCATTTTAGTCAACTAATTGCTAAGCCCACATAGAAAGAGATACCCCTTTTTTGCTTATATTTTAGAACAGTTAGAAGATGACTCTCACTTCAATTTTGTCTTAGGAATTAAAGGAAATTCTAGTCCTTTTATCTGTAATATTTTGGTTCAGAGTTTAAATGACTTGGTATAATCCTCATCTTCTGTATTATAGAAACTAGATATTAAAAGTTTCTTCAGTTGAAATGAAATTAGAAGTTGTTCTATTTTAAATGTAACTTTAACTTTTAGGTGTTTGAATAGTAAAATAAAGATTATAGTCATTAATGTTTGCCCAGGTCAACCAATACTCATGCAGTTAATTTTTCCAAATATGGATTCTATCACATTGAAGTGTTCACTTTTAAAAAATGCAGTTCTCTTTACAGTGCTTGTGCAGCTCAACTCTTTAATGAAATAAATGCAATTTTTTTTTAAACTTTTAAAATTATCTTCTGATCTTTGATGAAAAATAATTCTTTGTATTATTTATTCCCCCTCCCCCAGAAATAATTTGAACTTTCTAATGAGTTCTTGGTGGCCAAATCTTGAAGATCTTTATGAAGCAAATGTTCCTGTGTATAGATTTATTCAGCGACCTGGAGATTTGGTCTGGATAAATGCAGGCACTGTGCATTGGGTGCAGGCTGTTGGGTGGTGCAACAACATTGCCTGGAATGTTGGACCACTTACAGGTATTGTATGTTATTCCCTAACAAATTTAATGTTTAAGGGATTGTTTCCATTAGGTAGTTTTTTGTTAAAAAGTAATTCATTAAAAGTAGAAAGTTCAAAGCCAGCCTCAGCAAGAGTGAGGTGCTAAAAAACTCAGTGAGATCCTGTGTTTAAGTAAAATTTTTAAAAAGAACTGAGTTGTAGTTTAGTGGTTGAATATTCCTGAGTTAATCCCTAGTACAAAAAAAAAAAAAAGAAAGAAAGAAAAAAATAGAAAATCATCAGGTGTGGTGGCGTATACTTTTAATCTCAGCAACTCAGGCTGAGGCAGGAAGTTCAGAAGTTCAGGGTTAGCTTCAGCAACTTGAAATTTAGCAAGACCCTGTCTCAAAGTAAAGGCAGGGGATGTAACTCAGTGGTAAAGTGCTTCTGGGCTTAATCCCCAGTATCTCCCTTCTGCTCTCCCTTCCTGGAAAAGCAGAACAAGTTTTAATTGCTCGTACCGAGATTAAATTCATGTTAAAAACATCAATTCAATGACAGATTTCAGTGAATAATGAATATATTTCTCTGTAGACATAGGAGATATGCTTTTAATATCTTAGAATGTCATGTTTTATATTTATAAAGGATCTTTTTATGGAAGAGTAAAGCAATAGCAATTATTAAGAATTTTTATTTTATGTGGTTTGACACAATGCTATTGTGTTGGAGTTTTGAAAAAATTCAGTTCCTATTGCAGGCTTTTGCAAGCCAACATTTTGAAATAAACACAGATATTATATATATTTTTTAAAGTTTTGGAATTATCCTCAACTTTGAAGAAACACTAAAACACTTAATATAAGCTTTTACTAAGATGAACAGTCTCACTTTTAGAGCCAGAAAGATCTGAATTTTACCTGTACTCTACATCTTTAACTTCCTTACTTCAATAAGTTTTTGTTGTTTATTTTTTTTTTTTAAATCCTCAGGACCTTAGTTTCACCATCTACAAATATGGATTGGAAAATCAAGAAAGATGAAATAATATAAGATATAAAAAAGATGAAATAATATAAGATATAAAAACAACCCAGCATAATGCTTCAAGTATTTGTATTTCTTACATGATAGAATACTTAATCACCATAAAACAAATCTTTCATGTTTTAAGATTTTTAGAATTAGTGAGGAAATTATACCTGAGATGTAATAATAGCTATCTTCTCATTATTTGTTAATTTGGATTATTTTATGACAGTTGCTTTTTCCCCCCTAGCCTGCCAGTATAAATTGGCAGTGGAACGGTATGAATGGAACAAGTTGCAAAATGTGAAGTCATTTGTGCCCATGGTTCATCTTTCCTGGAATATGGCACGAAACATTAAAGTCTCAGATCCAAAGCTTTTTGAAATGATTAAGTGAGTACTTTCTAAAACTGCTGTAGTCCATTTTGGGAGTAGGGAGCAATAATTAAGTTTTTTTTCCCTCTAAAGAATCCTGACCTCAAATGATAAAATGGTCCAGAAAGCTTATTAAAATATAATAAAAGAATATACTTTGAGTGCTGGAGTTGTGGCTCAGTGATAGAGCATTTGCCTGGCATGTGTGAGGCCCTGGGTTTGATCCTTAGTACTGCATATAAATAAATAATCAATCCATTGAGTGCTAAAAATATTTTTTAAAAAACAACATACTTTTTTTTTTTTTTTACATATAATCAGGATTCTTATAGTACAATAATAAAGACAGCTGATTTTCAGTAAATTCACAAATTCAGCTTGTACTCTAACAAAATTTATTTCCCAAAACAACTCAAGTTGTTTCATTATTTTAAAATTATTGTTTATCTTATCATTTTTTTTTTGTTTGTTTTTCAACTATTGAGATCTAGTTGGCAATTAAAATTGTACATATTAAAGATATACACTTGATGTTATGTTTTGCATTAAGATGATACACTTATGCATTTAGAAATTTAGTTAAGGCCATTATAAAATTGCCTCATATAATTAACAAATTTATGTGTGTATAGTGAGAACACTAACTCCCTTTAGATTTTGACTATTGTTTTCATACTGTACATTACATCCCCTAAAACCTATTTACTTGATAACAAACTTTGCACCCTTGACCAACATTTTCCCAAATCACATTCAACCTCAGCTCTGGTAACCTAACAATTTACTCTGTTCTTCTGTTAATTTGACAGTTTTAGAGTCCATGTGTATGTGAAATCATGCAGTATGTGTCTTTTAAGACTATTGTTTCATTGTATATAGATTCAATATGCATTAGCAGACACTTAAACTGATTCCATTTCCTGTTTGTCATGAATATATATATAATTGCTGATCATGTAGTAGTTGAAGGATTTAATATTTTGGAACCTCTGTACCATTATCTGTGTTGGCTATACCAACTCACATTCTTACCAACCGTTTTTTAAGAGGGTTTTTTTTTTTTTTCCATCTCAGCCAATCTCTGTATTGTCCTTATGTAATAGCCATCCTAAAAGATGTGAGGTGATATCTTACTATAGCTTTGTTTTACATTTCCCTACTACTAGTAGGGAAATGTAGTGCATTCTTTATATACCTATTGCCTATTTCAATGACTTAGAGAAATGTCTGTTTTAAGTTCTTTGCACATTTTAGAAACAGATTATCTTATTTTTTCCCATTGAGTTATGAAGATTCCCTCTGTATTTGTAGTATTAATTCCTTATCAAGTGTATGGTTTGAAATATTTTCTCCCATTTTTTATTTTTTCTTTTCACTTGGTTGATTGTTTCGTAAGAGTTCTACTTATTTAGTTCCACTTTTCTTGTCTGAGTTATGGTGTTATGTCCCCAAAATCATTGCCCACACCAATGCCAAGAAGCTTTTTTACTGTGTCCTCCTTTGGTACTTTCACAGTTTCAGTTCTTCTTATGTTTGAGCCATTAATTTTGAGGATTGGGGGTATTCAGGTTAGAGGCACTCAATAACTGAGTTACATCCCCAGCTCTACTTTGTATTTTATTTAGAGACAGAGTCTCACTGAGTTGCTTAGTGCCTCTATTGCTAAGGCTGGCTTTGAACTTGTAATTCTCCTGCCTCAGCCTCCTGAGCTGCTGGGATTATAGGCATGTGGCCACCATGCCTGACAACTGTTAATTCTTTTTGAGTTAATTTTTTTTTTGTATGATATGAAATAATGGTCCAATTTCATAATTCTCCATGCAACTGTCCTGTTTTCCTAGCTCTTCTACTTTTTCTATTATTCCTTGATAATACTGATGATGAACCTGGGTTAATTTACCACTTAAATGCCTTGCTAAGTTGCGCTGGCTGCTAAACTGGATATTATCCTCCCCCATTGTTCTAAGTAACCAGGCAAGTGTGCATCCAAACCCCCTGCCTGTGTACCCTCTATGGACCTTCCACCTCCGCTACCTTTTGACAACTTTCCTTTCACTACTACATGTTTTTGGCATACCACTCTATTTTTTATTACTAATTAAATCTCTTCATTTGTTATTAATATGTCCAGGTTCTCTTTTTCTTATTTGTGGTGCTGGGATTGAAACCAGGATCTTGTGCATGCAAGGCAAGCACTCTACCAACTGAGCTATATCCCTAGCCCTCTTTTTCTTGATACTTATGTGATAGGCAGAATGTTTCTTGGTTTTCTGGATATCCTGTTATCAGCATATTAGTATTCATTCATAAAAGTCACTTTAATTCTTTAATTCTCAGCATCTGTTATAATGTCTTCTCTATCACTTGTGATTTTGTTATTTGAATCTTCTTTTTCCTTAGTAAAGTTGAGACATTTTTTAAAATGTATTTTTTGCTCATTTTTAGGATTTTTATTGTATGTATGAGTTATTTCTGCTGCAGTCTATTTCCTTCAATCTCTTATAGTTCTATGAACTTATTTATTTGAGAAACCCTCCTTTTTTTAAATGTACATGTCTGTTTTCATAAACTTTTTTGTTAGTACTATTTTGATGCATTCTAGAGGTTTAAGTAAGTTGTGTTTTTATTTTTGGTTGTCTCAAATACTTCCTAAATTTTTCTCTAATTTTCATTTGGCCCAGTGGTCGATTTTTTTTTTAATGTAATTTCCATATATTTGTAACATTTCAGATTTTTTTTACATTGTTGACTTCTAGTTTGATTTCACTGTGGTTAGAAAAGATTCTAGATTAGATTGGGATCATTTTGATCTTAAATTTGTTAAGATTTGTTTAGTTACCTAACATATTATCTATCCTGAGAATGTTATACACGTACTTGAGAAGAATGTATAGTCTGCTATTGGGTATATACTGTTTGGTCTGTAGTGTTATCAATTCTTAAATTGATTTCTATTTGAATGTTCAATAATTATTATAAGTAGGGTATTATAGTTTCAAACTATTATGGTAATACTGTCAGTTTCTCCTTTCAGATCTGTCAGTATTTGCTTTTTACCTTCAGGTGTTCTGATGTTGCGTACGTATTTATTTACAACTCCTGTACTTCCTAGTAGAATAGATCCTTTTATAAGCACATAATGACCTTTCCTTTCTCTAGAGAAGTTTTGGATTTGGAAGTGGTTTTCCTAAATATAGCTATTCTGTTTTATTTTGGTTATTTGCATGGAATTTGTTGTTGTTGTTTTCATTCCTTTGCTTTATATCTGTGTGTTACCTTTAAACTTAAGACCCAGCACATTCCTGGGTCTTGTTTTCTAACCCATTTAGCTCTCTGTGCCTTTTATGTGATGAATGTAACATAAAAATTTAAGGCAGTCAATGATGAGAACTAATTGTTTTGTGTCTACTTTCATTCTTATGTCATTATTATCAAAGCCTATTCTTCACTACGGGAGAGTGCAACAGAACTTGCACCAATTTGTTACTTAATATCCAGTAATCAATATTCCCCATTTCTGCCCCCATTTCCCTTGGCTTTGGACAATCATCAATCCACTTTCAACTTCTATGAGAGCAACCTGTTTTAGAGTCCACTTGTGAGATCATGCTTGTCTTTCTGTGCTTCACTTCACTTAACATAATGATCTCAAATTTCATCTATGTTGTCACAGATGACATTCTTTCATGGCTGAAAAGTATTCCATGGCTGAAAAGAATTCCATTGTGATTTCATTTCCTTTGACTATATAGCTAGTAGTGGGATAGCCGGGTCATATGGCAGATCTATTTTTAATTTTAGAAGTAATTTACATAGTGTTTTCCATACTGTCTATTCTAATTTTCACATCTGCAGTGCGTTTGTTTTCTTTCCTTCATATCCTTATCAGTACTTATCTTTAGTCTTTTTTGGTAGTAGCCATTCTTACTGTGGGGACATGCTATCTCATTGTAGTTTTCATGCTCATTTCCTGTGATGTTGAACATTTTTTCACATACATATATGCTATTTGTGTTTTTTTTGAGAAGTTTCTGCGTAGTTCTCTTGTCTACTTTTTAAATTTTGAGTAGTTTGGTTTTTTGCTATTGAGTTTCTGGAATTCCTTATTAATTCTGGATGTCAATTCCTTTTGACATATATAATTTACAAATATAACCCCTCCTTCTATAGGTTGTCTATTCATTTTGCTGATCATTTCTTCTGCTCTGTAAAAGCTTTAGTTTCATTTGATTCTTCATCTGTAATTTTTTTCTGCACTTTTGTGATGTTGCCCCCCCAAATCCTTGCTCATTCTGGTGACCTGAACATTTCCCCTTTATATTCTTTTAGTAATTTTATACATTCAGATCTTAACACTTAAGGCTTCCAATCCAGTTTGAGTTGATTTTTGTAATATATGAGAGACATATATTCTTGTATATGTGAATATTCAATTTTCTACATTTAAAAAAAGCCATTGATTAATTAATCAATGGTTCTTTTCCAGTTCTTTTTCAAAAACTGTTTCTTTGTCAAGTTGTGCATTCATATTACACATTGTTTACCAGTTTCATTTAACTGTATTTCTATATCCTCTTGAGTTTCATTGACTGTTGGAAAAAAAAAATCACAGCTTCTAATTATCAGGTGTTTATCCACTTTGATATCTTTAGAATTTTCCACTTAGAGATTTAGGAATTTAAGACTTATCATCTTACTTTTTTTATTGTATTTCTTGTGTCCTATATGGAGATTCAGAAAGCATGTGGTGAAATGAGTTTCTCTACCACATTTATGGGAAGTCCTTCTCAATAAACACATTTCTCCTAAAGATATGTATTTAAGGAATCAGTTGTTATTAAATATCAAATTTATTCACCTGGATATTATAATCTTCCTGTAGCTTCTCTGCTGTGATTAGTAATTATATTAGTAAGTGTAATTTATATCAGAGGTGAATATATAAATTTGTTAAGATTTATTTAGTTACCTAATATATTATTTATGGGTCACATAGGCAGAGGAGATACTCAAGCTTT